ACGTTAAGATTAAAGGCATATGTCAGTAAATGGCTTCATGCTGGTCTGGGACACGTATGTAAGGGCTTTTTGTTTTTCCTGGCAAAGATGTATAAAGCAGTTTCAGATTTGTGCGATCAACTCACGCCTGTTGTGTTGTATTGTTTTATAACACAAGCCTGCTCTTGGAATTAAACACTTAGCGAAGTCCGTCCAATTCTTGCTGAATCGGCACAGATGGGTCAATAGTTGGCCCTGCTGGCACCACGCTTCAAAAAAGTCAAATTTTTTTTGGTCGAATTTGAAAAAGTCAAAAATTGTCGAAGGAGTTGGCTGGAGAGTTGTCAGCTGACCAGTGACTGCAGCCTATCAGGGTTTTCTTAGAGTTGCAAGTGCCAGCCCAGCCCAGCCCATTCACACTGTGTTGGTATGCTTCTGTGCAATGCATTGTGAATTGTACCCCAACACACCACTAAAACGCATGCGCGCTGCATTGCAGCATGGCACAATGCATGGTGCCCTTTGCGTTGCACTAGGATGAAATGCAGCCTGCTCCTTTTTAGCGTGCATTGCTGTGCTCATTTTGACTCGGCTGTTTGCTGCAGTGCACATCATTGCATGACATCTGCATTGCAGCACCCAGTGTTGTGGTGTCATTGGATATTGATGCAAAGTGGTTATTTAAATTCTGAATGGCACCCCAAAGCACCTTGCTGACAGACATGCATTGTCATGTGTCGTGTGCGTTGTGGCGCACTGTCAAAAAGGTGACATGTTGCCAGGGCTGCCCTAACGCACGGCACATTAACGCAACACAATAGTGTGAATGGTCCTTTTGTCCTTTGATGAAGACACTGCCTGTTTAAAGCTGGACACGGACAATAAGCTCAGATAAACTGTTTTTTTTTTTTTAAACAATTGGCAATGTAAATAAAAACAATAAGAATTGTTCTAGTAAATAACACATTTTAGCTCAGTGAAGTGAGCCCATTGGGTGGTGGTAGGACCATAAACATTTTATCTTTATATACAATATGCACATAGACATGAAAGGTTGCATTTGTAGACTTTTTCTTGTGTTATTGTGCCCATCGTTGTTGATTGATCTGGAAAATTGGGTTTGTATTGTGTAACAGTCATTTACATCTGTAAGATTGTAGACTGAGTGCACCCACAGGTCAGTAGTCATTCCTAGATTATTGTCCCAGTGATTTTTGTTTGGGACAGTAATCCCATATTGTCTTGTTAGTAGGAGAGGCTGTCCACTAAGCCCTACAAGCCAACCGACTTCTCTATATACTATCCACTTGCGGCCTCCTTTTATGCCAGGTTTAATAGGATTTTTGGCCGTTAATGAGGAGAACATGGCTTTGCAATAGTCCTTCTTTTTTTTTTTTAAGCAAGTAAATGAAATGTCTTTCTTTTACATGTCGTTTTTAAATCGCCTAGTGTTAGCAGTTCTTCAGAAGCTAGTGGTTAGTGTTTTGCTTGTGACATCTGTGACTCTTGACAAAAAAAGACCCCTTCCCTTTGTTTAGGGATTTCTGTGCACTGGTATTGACCTTTTAAGGAGTAAAGACCTAATTGACTTTAAAGAAGAACTCCAGGTTTTAGAAGAATTAACCCTTGCAGTTTGGCTACCCCTGCACTGCAAGGGTTAACTGCATGTTTTTCAGCACACAATGCTGCTGAAGCAACCCTACAACTCTTACCTACTCGCATAGTAAAATCCAGGTAGTGACTTTTTTTGGGCCAGGCAGTGTATTTATACAAAGGAAAAGGTTACAGCTGTATATTCCCCTCTTTTAAATAGTGAAAGACCCACCACACTAATGTCTCTTTAGTGCATTTGACTTATAATCAATGTGCCTTACGTTTTCAATGTGAACCTGGCTTTGCCCATGCGTGGCTTTAATTAACTTACATGCCAGCTCCTTCAACATTTTATACCCTCCTTCCCCAACACACCATGCTGGTTCTTGACAATTGGCTGCTCAGGCACCAGTACCCTCACTTTTTTAGGCGGGAAGAAAATCTGCAGCCCTTTGTTGGCACTAACTAGGATTGGTTTGGAACCTAAAGAGGGTTTCTTCTCCTTGTTCTAGAGGGAAGAAATTTAAATACCCAGTATAAGATGCTGTGGGGCTGCACCCCTGCATAGTCAGTGCATAGGTCCACTTTAAATCCTAGATCTGCATTCTTCATATATCTCAGAAACTAAATCTCGGTCTCAGATTCAGTTAAAATTCTGTGAGCTTTAGTGGCAATGTAAGAAAATGGCAGCAATTCTGCCACTCTGGTACACCGCTTGGCATGAAAAGCCTCAAGTGACCTCAGCCCATGAACTATGCCCATACAGCATAATTGGCATGCCTTTTTGTCATGCCTTGTGCAGAATACAACTATTCCCTGTATCGTGACCATACCACACATTACTAGCCAGAGCCTCTGCAGTGATCCCTCGTCCTATGCTGCATCTTATATAAATAGGAAGAAGCCAGATCATCATTTGATCTGGTTTTAGAAAAAAAAAAAAATATTATGGTATGTTCACCATTTGTTTTTAGTGCATGTACCATGGGTTCTTCTACCCCAGGCCTTCTTAAACTTTCTCCACTTGTGACCCCTTTTTGGCCGAGGAAACCTTTTAGAAACAAAAAAAACCTAGCTTGGAGCCCAGACCTCCTCGGCCACCTGGGCCCCTCAAACAAGTACCAGCCATACACCCCTGATGGCTGTCCGGGCCGGGGACTCGGATCGCAACCCCCCTGTTCACTTGCGGGACCCCATATGGGGTCGCGACCCACACTTTAAGAAGCACTGTTCTAGCCAACATAATATGATTTTTCTTAAAAACATATGGTACTTATCTATTATTTAGACTTTATAATTTCACCTTTTATGGTTGTTTCAAGTGAAAAAAGGCACAGTCAATTACACCCATATCATTAAAAACCGGCCAAGGCCTAAAAAAACGTTTTCTTTGGTCCTGTTTCTGCTATTAGGATGGCATTTTTCTTTGTATCCTCCTTTTGGATTAATTTATATTCCAGAAATGTGTTCTGGAATATTTCCATTGCCTCAAAATGGTGGTTATGAACACTTGTACACTGCCACAGGATGACAGGCCTAGAATACTGACTGCCACAGCCATATTCTAATTACTTCATAATTATTATTCCTTTTATTTTTATTTATTTTTGGTAAATTGACTGTAATGTTTTTCGTGCAATATTTTTGCAGCTTGTATGGTATTTATCTCATATTTTTTGTTAATTTATTTTAAATGAATTGACCATACTCTTAACAAATGCGATATTTCACTAAAAAACCTCACATGATTATATTACATATAGTGATTTATATTGTAGTGAATTGAGCCCATTGTCTTTATTCTGGCACCTTGACTTAAATGTCTACTGTCTTCAAAAATAACCCGTGGCAGTTAAAGCAGTACAAAAGTAATCAAAATATATTTTAGACTTTTTTGTTTTTCCAGTCCCATAGTTCCTTTCTGTACTGTATGTTAGATTTATTTGTATAGCGTTAATGCAGTTGAGTGGTTTTGTTTTAGGTTGTCTGCATGTAGAAGTGTAGATTATATGTTTGTAAAATATTTGAAGGAGGTTTATTCGCGTGTCAGGATTAGTTTTTCCCACAAAAACCTCCACACATCTGTGTATGTCATACTGAGTGTGTAAAAGGTGGACTGTAGGGATTAATGTAAAGCATTAGTCAACATCTTGGAAGCAAGCTAGGTGCAGTATATGACGCCTTTTCACGAAGTGTCCTCCCCAATCAGAAGATTATGCATGACACCTAGTGATCATCCTCCATTCCAAATACAACTCTTTGTTAGGACAAAACTCACACCCTTCCTGAGTTATTACTCATAAAACATAGCTGAACTATTGGGAGTCTTAGAGAAAAAAAATGTAGGACGCGTTTTAGAAAACGGCTGGGGAAACCTGATATTTAATTTCGTTTGGCACTGGGAAAGCAACAGGTTCGTATGTGCTGCTGAAGTGGTGGGGGGTATTGAAGCACACCCTTTGCTTTGCAATGCATGGGCTCAAAAAGTTCCATTGAGCTCCTTTTTTGAAGCTGCCTTTCTAGTCACATTGAGTTTCAAAGAAAATGAGAGCAGCACAGACACAAATGACCATGTACACAAGTCTCACAAAAGTGTGATAAGACATAAAAGTGCTGTTATAAACAAGATGTAAAAAAAAAAAAAAAATACAAAAATGGAATAATTGTTGAAATGCCAGAAAATTTGGCAAAGAAAATACAGAGATGTCCTTTTGTGAAAAGGTTATTCTACACCTGGTCAAAGGACTATGTAAAAAAAAATGTGTGAATATATAGCTTGCTAAAGATGGTCTGAGCCCCATTTGAAATGTTGACAATAACATTCTGATGCTTTCACTTCTAAAGACCTGCTTTTCAAGGTGGACTTTTTCTGTTTTCTAGGTGTCTGGCCCTTATGAGGAAGCTTGTTCAAAGGAGAAACTTTAATTTCGTCTTGTGAACAGCCTTGACCCCAAGCCAGCCTTCAGAGGGGATGTGTTTACCTACGCCAAACATTCGAATCATGGAATACAATCAAGACCACGTTACCCTTGAACAGCCTTCAAACTCAGTGAAATGAAGACATTTTGGGATTTGCCTGTTGCAGCAGGAATAAAGGAAACCCTTTAATTATTATTCACTACAGCTGCTTTCTGTTTAGTGAAAATAAAGGCGTGACAATCCCAGAGTCGCTGCCCAAAACAGCCCACAGGTTATATAATATCCTCTCAAAATCTTCCTTGTCATTTTGTGTTTCCCTGTCATCTTCGCAGGTGCCAGTTTACTGTGGGAGGTGAGGTTTGCCAGACTTGGCAGCACACCAGTTGTAATTGAGGCAACACTTTGGATATAACCTCCCTCCCATTTAGTCCTTTTTTTACTTCCTGGGATTTTACATTTAGAAAGAAAACAAGACAAGAAAAAGCTGTGATCTGTGAGAACTTCAATGTCTAAAAGCCTTTGCGTCTAGTTTGGGTAAAATCTAAAGCAAACAGAAGAGATTCCTATGATTTTGTGTTGCAACCTGCCTTAGCTGAAGTTGTCTGTTTTACTCCCCCTAGTGCTCCACAGGGGGGCTCCTAATCATGTGCGAAGTGTTGGTGCTGTGTGGGTAGAAGTTGTTTCCAGTTTTTTTTTTCACTTTGTTTCTCTGTTCCTGTTCATCCCGAAGAGAGAGCTGGAGGGAATTAAGACTCCTCCTTCCTTGTACTTTAAACTCAGCTGGACATGAATCTGCTCATCCTCGAACGCTTCTAAAATAACCTATAGTGTTTAATGTTCTCTGATGCTGGCTCTTCCTGGAAGATTTTCTAACGTTGTTTAATTAGAGCAGGTCTTGCTTCTCCTAATTCTATCAAAGTATTCTATATCTACTATTCCTGCATCAGCAACACTTGTATACTTGGCTCGTTCTCAATGGGTGGAGTTGAAAGTAGCATTCCTCTGTTTGTTCCTGGTGACCTGTTCTAAGGCTTTCATCTCAAAGAAGAATCTTGGATATAGCATCACTTGAATCGTGGGTGGCTTTATTTATTTACTTTTCTCACACTGTCCTCGATGATGTCTTGGAAGAGGAGTTATTTCTCTACGGGTCGAGGAGGGGTGCATGAGATGTTTACCCCACGCAATTCCATATCCATCGCTCCAAGCAAGGGCCTGATTAATGAACCGGGACAAAATAGCTGCTTCCTGAACAGTGCACTGCAGGTAAGGAGGTGCATGCCATATTCTGATACTAGATGGAACTGGTACATTTACTTTGCTTTTATATATTTTTGTATGTTTATATAGGATCTGCAATGTATTTTATTATTAGTTATACACGTATGT